CATTGGTCCTGTTCTTATCCCCTACCTCCTCATACATGCACTGGCTCCCCCCTATAGGTCAGGTACTATTTCACTTTTATCTTAGTATGCTCATTGCATAGCAGGGTATCTACTACATGGTGTTAAGAAGACTTGAGTTCAAATCCTCCCTTAGTTCCCCTGGGCAAGTCCCTTCAACCCTGTGGGTTTTAGTTTTCCCATCAGTAAAGTGAAGACAATAACAGCTCCTGTCTCACAGGATTATGGTGGGAATCCTATGAGAAATCCCATGTAAAATGTTTTACAAATCTTAAATACATGGTTGCTGTTGATTTTTTTAAAAACCCTAATTTGTACTTGGGTTCCATTAAGGGAGGTATAGTGTCCAGGACTAGGAGGTGGTAGATCCACTGTACTCCGTCTTGGTCAGACGACATCTGGAACAGTATATTCGGTCTACGAAGAACACTGGCCAGCTGGCCAGTGTCCAGAGGAGGGCAGCCAGGGTGAGGAAGGGCCTTGAGTCCATGCCATGTAAGGAGCAGCTGAAGGAACTGGGGCTATTTACCCTGGAGAAGAGAAGACATAGGGTTCTACTATTCCCTGTCTATTTACTTAATCCACATGGTTCAGAATGTTCCCGGGCTGTTCCATCAGCCTGTGTGCTTTTTGCTCCAGCTACCAATCCCAGGAAAATCAGGCTCAGATGTGTTCTTGGCTCCCCCAGAGCTGACAAATCCTCCAGCAATGCACTCATGGAGAGATACTATCAAGGCATCTTCACTGGAAATCCAGAGTACTTTCGAGTACTTTGTCCTAGTTAGAATGCCTCCTTCTTAGGGCTCGATGTGTTCAGAGGCAGCAGAATTCTGAGTCATTCCTCCTTCCTAGTCATGACATATTTCTGGGAATATGAAGAACGCTTCAGAGACGTGACATTCCTTAGCCTGGAGTTGTAAGTCAATTCCCCACTTCCTTTCTAGTCATGTTGCATCATCCGTGAGAACAGGACTGAACAGATCTGTTTGAATCCGACATGCCTTAGGAAAGAAACGCGGGCAGGCACACACCATGGGGCTCCACCCCTCCCATTGGAGGCAAGTCTGATTTCTCCTGCCCAAAAGAAAAATGGGTTACAGCTGTGCTCTGTACTAATGATGACATAGACTTGGACCAGCACCCTCTTAGACTAATCCATCAATTAATGTACCTTGCACAAGAACTGAAGATAGATGATGAACTGGACCCAGAATCAAAGAGGAGGAAATAGAATGGACTGCTTTTTGAAAAATTATCTTATAGTTTCCGCAGCTCAAGAAGCCAGGTGTATTGTACAAAATTCCACCATCACAGTAAATGACGAGATCATGTCTAAGATACGTTGAGAAGGAACTATAGTTCCCTTAACATAGCCCAAGAACAAATTAGGGGTGTTTTTTTGGTAAATTACAACTTAGGGTTTGTAAAAATAGCAATATTGATAATAATAGTCAGGTAAGAAGAGAAACAAGGGAGAACAGAGTGAAGGAAGCTATCAGGGGGAGAAAATGCAAATTCTTTGAGCTTAAGAACTATTGAATTCTTTTTATTTATAACCCCAGCACCTAACACAGTGCCTAGCACATGGGGGTGTTCAGTAAATGTTTCTAGATTCATTGATGGATTGCAGAGGGCACCTAGGAGGAGGAGATAATTAACCATGTCAAGGAGGATGAGTACTAAGAAATGTTGGATACACAGGAACAGCTAGTGGTGCATTGGATAGAGTACCAGCCCTAGAGTCAGGAGAACTTGAGTTCAAATCCAGCCTCACACAACTTATTAGCTGTGTGACTCTGGGCAAGTCACTTCAGCCTGTTTTCTTTAGTTTCCTCATTTGTAAAATGAGCTGGAGAAAGAAATGGCAAATCACTCCAGTATCTCTGCCAAGAAAACCCCAAATGGGGTCACAAAGAGCCATCCAGATGTAACTGAAATGATGGAACAACAAAATTAGAGACAGATGGACAAAAGATTTGAACAGACAGTTTTCAAAAGTAGAAGCACCAGTTTTCTTAATCATTTGTAATCACCTGTAAAAAATGCTCAATCTCATCTCTATGGGTGGTTAAGATGGCATAAAAAATGTTGAACATGGGAACTGAGGAAGCAGGAGGCCCCAAGGATGAAATCCAGGGTTGAAATGAGAGGGAGATGACAAGCCAGGTCCTGGAGAAAGGAGGGGGAAGCACCTGATAATCAATAAATCACAGCACCAAAGGGCTCGACCATGTGATTGACAGAATTATAACAATAGCAATAGCAGCAACAACAATATCTCCACTGTATAGGAGATATTTCCCTGTTAAGTTGGGTACCATAAAGGAGTGTGAAGGCTTGAACCCAAGGCTAGGCTGCTGGCTGTGCTCGCTAGGACTGCCCGAAGTCTCCTGGTGCTGCTATAGACCAGAGCTGCCACTCAGCTCCTGCAGCTAGCTCTTCTGCGGTGCATGGGAGCCCAGGCCAGGCTGCACTGCAGGCTGCCCGTGAATTTGTGGAAATACATTCCCAAGCACAGGAAGTGGATGCAGCAGGGACCTGGCAGGGCTCTCTCCTGTAGTTCTAGTTTCCATTCCTTTCCCGTGAGCCAGACTTCTCCAGGCCCTTATCAGTTTTATTTTGGTGCCTTTAGATGTTTTCAAGTGCACACTTGTCTGTTTGCACGCTCCCTCTTGACTGCCTTGTGCCTGGGAGAAACTCACATGATTATTTATAACCCGAGTTTCTTTTTTAACTTCAGCCTATGAAGTTGGGACTTCCTGTGCTGCAAAAAAAAAAGCGAGTCTGAACAGTGGCAGGTCTGGTGGGGTAAATCCAGGCCTTCCTGCTGTCTGATCCATTGAGTCTGTCATCTTGTTTTCCTCTCAGATCTGGCTGGAAATTCTTTGGCTCCAGCCAAAGGAGTTAAAAGGGGAGAACGGCAACTTGGTCCCTGGGCAGACTTCTGCAAAAAAGGAACATAAGGACATGGCCTCATGATTTCTTTTTTAAATTTTAGGGGTGGCTTTGGCCATACTGTGTCAAGCCCGGAGTCAGGAAGACCAAAGTTCAGATCCAGCCTCTGTCTGCCTCAGTTTCCTCATCTATAAAATGGAGAGAATAATAGCCCCTACCTCCCAAATTGTTGTGAGGGTCAAATGAGATAATAATTATAAAGTGCTTAGCACAATGTCTGGCTCATAGTAAGTGCTATACAAATGTTAGCTGTTGTTACTATTATTATCATTTTAAAGGATGGGAGATGTCTTAGAATCCATCTTAACTAAGAAATGCTGATTTTAACAGGTTTTTTTCCTTGAGCAATGATAGATCTAGGACAGGGAGGGACCCTAAAGTTAGGATCCTACATCACAGGACCAAAGCTGAAAGAGAGCACAGAGGCAATCTCATCCAACCCCCAATCCTCTCATTTTTCAGATGGGGAAACTGAAGCTTAGAGGGGTCAAGTGACTTGCTTAAGTTCACCCATCTGGGGAGTATCAGAGCCAGAACTAGAACCCAGCTCCTCTGCTTCTGGATATAACATTTCCCCCCCCACTCCGTGGAAGAATTTCCTTAAAGATGATGAGGGTCAGAGTCACAGTCCAAAAATGCTGGATTTGGACTCACTTACTACCTATGTGACTGTTGGCAATGGACTTCATTTCTTCAGGCCTCAGTTTCCTCATCTGTGAAATGAAGGAATTAGACCAAATGGCTTCTGAGGTTCCTTCCAGATCTTAATCTATGACCCTGTGTCCCAAATATTTTAATTTGCATGATAAAGGAGGCTGTGGAGAACAAATCTGTAAGTAGCATAGTAGATAGGATACTGGGCTGGAAGTCAGAAAGATCTGGATTCAAATCCTCCCCTCAGACACTTACTAACTGTATGACCTTAAGCCTCAGTTTTCCCATCTGTAAAATGAGAACTGGATGACCTCTGAAGTCTCTGCCAGCTACTGCCCTTTGCTATACAGATCATAACATTAGAACTGAAAGATATATCAAAGACAGTAATAATTGCTAGCATTTATATAGTACTCTAAGGTCTGCAAAGCACTTGACAAATATTATCTCATTCTATCCTCACAACAACCCAGAGAGGAGGTAGATGCTATTATTTTCTTCCATTTTGCAGATGAAGAAATTCAGACAAATAATGGCTGAGTGTCTTGCTCAGTATCCTAATGTCTGAGGAATGATTTGAACTCAGATCTTTCTGTCTCCAGACCTAGAGCTCTATCCACTGCACTACCTCAGTGGAAGAATATTAGCACTGAAAGGAATGGAAAGAGAATCTATTCCCCACCCTTAATTTTATAGATAACTGAGACGTAGAAAGTTGAAATGACTTAATTTTGGTCATATACATAGTAAGTGGCATACTTGGGATTAGAACCCAGCTCCTCTGATTACAATACTTGGGGGCTGGGACTTTCAAAATAACCCCTATTTACTAGTTTATCTAGGGGTAGAAGAAGTTAGCTAGGAAGAACATTTTTAGCCACTGGTGGCCCATGGCTTATGAATCTATTGTAGCCTACTTTAATAAAGAGAATGGAGGGATTAGGTGACTTTCTTTATAGGAGCAAAAAACTGGGAAACAAAGGAGATGCTCTTCTATTGCAGAACGCCAGTGATACACAAATGTAGTGGAATGTTATTGCACCAGCAGAAACAGTAACTGAGGAATTCAGAGAAGCATGAGAAGATTTGTGTGAATTTATGCAAGTTGAAGTTATCAGAACCAGAAAACCAATAGATACAATGTTCACAATGTAAATGGAAAGAAAAACAAAATAACCAAACCCAAATGTTGTAAAGACTGCAATGATTAAGCTTGGACCCAAAGAAGAGAGATAAGAAGGTTTTTTCATTGTCTTCTTTGCAAAAATGTAGGATTACGGGTATAGAACATTACATATAACATCAGACTTGAATGATATGCTTTTCAGTTTTGCTGAATTGTTTTTCTCTCTCTTTTTAATTCTTTGCTATAGGTCATGTTTATAGGGTGAAGAAAGGGATATGTTGGAAACCGTTGGTAATGTAAAAATAAACACGGCAATAATTTTTCTTAAAGTGATACTGTTTTTACACATTAACTCAATGATGCTAGGCATATATCCCACAGAGTTCAAAGACAGAAAGTAAAGCTCTATATACACCAAAACATTCCTAGCATCAGCTTCTGCAGTGGCAAAAAAAAAAAAGTGGAAGTAAATTAGGTATCCATCAGCTGGGGAAATGGCTAAATGAATTGAAATATATGGATGTATGAAATTGTATCACCCTTTAAGAAATGACAAATTTGAAAAATTCAGAAAAACCCAGGAAGCCTTATATGAACTGATGCAAGTGAAGAAGAGTGAGCCCCCCAAAAAACCCCACTATAAACAATGATCATATTAGTTACCTATAAAAAATACTAAAAGACATCCCAACCCCATTTCATTGTAATGACCAATCATTGTCCTGCAGAACAGAAGATAAAACATCCCTCTCTCCTCTTGGTAGAAAGGTGAGGGAGTATTGGTGCAAGATATTGTCAGATGTGGTCACCGTATTTTTTGGCTTTGCTTAATTGTTTTTTGTTGAGAGAGGATTAAATGATTTGGATAAAGTACATTGGGAAAAGATGGTGGTATAAAAAATGGTATCAATGAAGCTTTAAAAATAAATGGTTTTTTTTAAACTCAGTAACACTTTTAGTAAGGCAGTTAAGTGGCACAAAGACAACTTGGTGATGCAGTGGAGAGGGTGCCAGGCCTAGAATCAGGAAGACCTGAGTTCAAAAATGACCTCAGATATTTACTAGCTGTGTGACCCTGGGCAAGTCACTTAACTTCTTTTGCCTCAATTTCTTTATCTGTAAAATGATCTGGAGAAGGAAATGGCAAACCACTCCAGTATCTCTGCCAAGAAAACCCCAAGTGGAGCCATGAAGAGTCAGACACAACTGAACAAGAAAAACATTTTTGCTAGTTGAACAAAGATTTATCCTATTAATTGCACAATGAAGATTTTCCCTCAATTCATTCATGTTTGTTTGGGATTGGGTCATGATGTAGTGGAAAAAATGCTGAATTTGGAGTCAGAAGACATGCACATACAAAGACAAATGCGACACAGGCCCTGCCTGGACTTTAGAGGCCAAGTTCAACCCCCTCATTTTGCAGATGAGGAAACTGAGCCCCAGAGTAATTAAGTGACTTGTCCAGGATCACACGGATCTTAAGTATTTGAGATAGGTCTTCCTGATTCCAAGTCTAGTGCTCTATCCACCATTACTTGACTGAGGGTAAGGAAGGCTGGAGGGAAGTTGAGATGTAGTATTCGAGTACTCATGACTCCCAGAGAGATAGGAGATAGAATATCATGTGTTGAAGGACACAACATAGGCCGGTGTGGCTGGCCAACAGAACTCTCAAAGAATAATATGTAAGAAATATGGAAAGGTCAGCTGGAACCTGGTTGTAAAGACCTTTAGATGCCAGTTAAAGGGTTTGTACTGGATCTTAGAAGCCACTGGAACTTCTTAGGCAGTAGAGGGACCTGGTATCCACTGAAGAACTACAGATCCTTGAAATATCAAAATGTTGAAATGAAAGATGCAACTCTGTCTTCACTCTTATTCACTCCTCTAAGCTGAGAAAGTCTTATTGAAATGTATAAATATGAGAAATGTTAAGAGATACCCAAAGGTCAAAGAGGAGTTATATGGTGGGTATAAGAGAGCTGCAATTCCACTATTCCAGGAAAATTCCCAGCCATGCTGCACTTAATTCTAGATTTTCCAGCCATGTCCTTTTTTCTTTCCCAGATGCTTTGTCCCATCAAGGAGAGCCTTTCTCACCTTTCTCACCCATTCTTCCCCTCTGGAACTATGATCACATCAACTCTGCCTGGACAGCTTGGGTCAATCTATACCCCACAGCTCCATTCAGCCTCTCTGTAACTTTCTAGAACAAAGCGCCCTCCCTTTCGCCACCATTTTCCTTTATCTGTTATATGTAAGCTCTTTAAGGGCCAGGACATTATCTGTGTGTTTATGTTTGTATCCCTACTAGGTGTCTCAGTGGATAGAGTTTCAGGCCTGGAGTCAGGAAGACCTAAGTTCAAATGCAGCCTCAGACACTTATTAGCTGTGTGACCCTGGGCAAGTCACTTAACTCAGTTTACCTAAGTATCTCTGCCAAGAAAACACCAACTTGGGTCATGAAGAGTTAGATACAACTGAAATGACTAAACAACAAAATACTAAATTTGTATCCCTAGTACCTAGCACAGTTCTTGACACATTGTAAATACTTAACAAATGGTTTTTCACTCATTCACCAACCAATAAATTGCATAAGAGAAGCAAAGTAAAGAATGCCATCATGGGAAAAGAGCTGGCTGATTATATGGTGAGAATAAGGGAAAACTAAAGGGCAACCCCCATATATGCATTACTAAAGATGGGGCTCCATTGATTAGCCTGCTCACTTAAAAGGATTTTTTTTTATTGTTGTTCAGTTGTTTCAGTCTGTCTGAATCTGCACGATTCCATTTGAAGTTTTCTTGGCAAAGATACTGGAGTGGTTTGCCATTTCCTTCTCAGCTCATTTTATAAATGAGAAAACTAAAGCCAACAAGGTTAAGTGACTTGCCCAGGGTCACACAGCTAGTAATCGTCTGAGGCCAGATTTCAACTCAGGAAGATGAGTCTTCCAGATTCCAGTACTGGCACTCAATCCACTGAATCACCTAGCTGACCTAAGATGAGATAAGAACATTTCTTGATTGAATCAATTAGCTGAAACCAAGTGTGGAAAAAGGCCTGTATATCTCCTTGAATCAATCAAAGTCATTGTGTGAGAAAATTGGTCATGCCCTGAGGAATTAGTGTAAAAGAAAGGAACTATCACAATAACTGGAAGAGATTCTGAAATTCTGGAAGCATGGAGTTAAGCAAACTAAACTTCTAGCACAACTCTGAGGAGCAAAGCTAGTATGGACCTGTGGCAAAAGGAAATGTGGGATGGGGTGGGGCAAGGGATGGTCATTGGGTCTCCAGGTACCTTAAAGCCAAAGACCTAGGCAGGGAGAAGTCCCTAGAAAAGTTTGTCTCTTTCCCTATCTTCCTTCCCCCCCCCCCCCCCCGGGGTTTGTCTAACCACAGGCGCTATAATATAATCAACCTTTTCTTTACCCAAACATTTCCAGTAAATTGATTTTTGCCTCAACCACAAAGAGACTAGGTTGGAGTTTATGAGAGACTGTTATAATTGTAGGCAAAGAGCCCAACTTCTGCCTGTTGGGAATTTTCCAAACTGGAGGCTCAAAGTGATTGTGACTGGACTGAGAACTTTTTTATGTGAAATGAACTCCCTAAAGTTACCTGCCCAAAGAGGAGGTAACTATGTGAGCCTTAAGGTCCATGATATTCTTCCCTAGACTTTAAATGTGGTAATTATTATAACAGGATGTTAAGTTTGCAATGTCAAAAGAACTCAAGAAAGACACCCAATATGTTGGGTGGACCCCTCTGTGAAAGAAAAGTCAGTCCCAAGAATGAGAGGGGTGGTTAGGTCACAATCTGCATCACTGGGGTGAAAACTCACATTGAGGAGGTCACGGATCTATCAAAGTATTTCTATGTTTTGCAAAAATGTTTCAATATAAAAACTGATTATAAAATCATGTCATGAATTCATTAGTTGTTCAGTCATGCCCAACTTTTCATGACTCCATTTGGGGTTTTCTTGGCAAAGATACTGGAGCAGTTTGCCATTTCCTTCTCCAGCTCATTTTACAGGTGAGGAAACTGAGGCAAAGAAGGTGAAGTGACTTGTCCAAGGTCACCCACCTAGTAAGTATCTGAGGTTGGATTTGAACTCAGAAAGATGAGTCTTCCTGACTCCAGGCCCAGCCCTCTATCCACTGCAGCACCACCTAGCTGCCCAGTTTACTGGCAGTGCTATGCTAATATTCTTTTTGAAACATAAGCTCTTTGAGGGTAGAAACTGGGTTTTTTTTCCCTTTGTTTTCTAGGTATCTGTTGTGCCAGGCATATGGCACAATTTTTTAAATGGAGGCTGTGATTTCATCAGCATGAGGAACTCCTTGATGGGGAAACTCTTTCCCTTTCTGGGGATAGTGACTTGAGGTCTTAGAGAATTGCCTAGGGCCAAGAGTTTAATGACTTGCCTAGAGTCACATAGTTAGGATGTGTCAGAAGAGAAACTTGAACCCAGCTGTTCCTGACTCCAAGGCCATGCCTGTAGCCATATTACCCTGCACTCTCTTGGAGCTGGAGGCATGTTCCTCAAACTGAATCAACTTGAAAGCCAGCCCTTTCTTCCAAGGCTTTCTGAAAAAGGGTTGAGCTCAAAATTCTGAGAAGGGTGGCATGTGTGTGCTTGCCTGAGGGATTTCAATGTCAACATGTCCTCAGAGATTTCCATCTTTTTAAGGTTCGGATGCCGTTTTCAGAGGGTTTTTTTTCCTCCCCTTCCATGGTCATTTTGAAGGCTTTGGTTAATTGGCGATGTGTCTCATCTTGCATCAAAAAGCCAAACACGGACCCTGAATAAACATGTCCTGGCTCTATTTCCATGGACCCAGAATAGACAGACTGTTATATTATCTCTCATGAATCATGGGCTTTTGAATTTATTTTACATTTATTCTGAAACAACACAGATCTGCCTCAAGTCATTAATCACCAGCTTTAGATGGGCAGGGTAACTGTAAAACCCCATTAGTTCTGCAGCTCATTAAAAAGGGGGAAATAGAATCAAAAGCTCTTCTTGTTAGGTCTCACGTTCTTTCTTTCCCACCTTCCAGAAAATGGGGTCCAGGGTAGCATGAGTGGATGGCTTGCAGATGGAACAGTATATGGCAGTAAATATTCCAGTAATGGGAGAGCCTTGCTTAATCAAGCCACTATAGACACACCTTTAAGTCACATTGTGTTTTGTTTTAGGTAAATGGAGAGGAAAAGATCAGGGGAGAAGCACAGAAGGAGAGTATTACAGTCTCCTACAGATATCTATATCTAGATAGATAGATAGATAGATAGA